ATTGCAGTATTATTTACAATAGCCAAGAAATGGAAGCAACCTAAGTGTCCATCAGTAGATGAATGGATAAAGAAGATGTGGTACATATACACAATGGAATATTACACAGCCATAAGAAAAAAAACTAATCCTACCATTTGCAACAACGTGGATGGAGCTAGAGGGTATTATGCTCAGTGAAATAAGCCAGGCGGAGAAAGACAAGCATCAAATGATTTCACTCATCTGTGGAGTATAAGAACAAAGAAAAAACTGAAGGAACAGAACAGCAGCAGACTCACAGAACCCAAGAATGGACTAATAGTTACTAAAGGGAAAGGGACTGGGGAGGATGGGAGGGAAGGGAGGGATAAGGGTGAAAAAGGGGCATTACGTCTAGCAGACATAATGGAGGGGGGTGTCACAGGGAAGGCAGTACAACACAGAGAATACCAGTAGTGATTCTATAGCATCTTATTTCGCTTATGGACAGTGACTGTAATGGGGTATGTGGTGGGGACTTGATAATGGGGGGAGTCTAGTAACCATAATGGTGCTCATGTAATTGTAATTAATGATACCAAAATAAAAGAAAGAAAAAAAAAGATCACTCTCGCTGAAGTGTAGAAATAATAACAAGATTAGCCTTAAATACATTATCTTATTTTACCCCTTGCACCCGAACTTGGAGGTAGGTATTATTATCTTGATTTTACAGATGAAGAAACTGGGACTTGGAGACCTTAGTTCATTCATAAACTTCACAAATTTAAAAGAAGTGTAGTCAGGCACCCATGTCTCTCTGACCCTAAAAGCTATTTTGTCTCCAACTAGTAAAGATGTGTTATGACCTGCTTTATGTTTACCTTGTGGAAACTTGACATTCATTTCTGTAGTATTATTTGCATAGTCTTGTATTAGTTTACAAAGCATTTCACAGTGATTATTTAATTTCCTTAAAAACTATGAATTAGACGATGTTCTCTTTTATAGGTATTAAAACTGAAGCATGAGGTATGGGACTGTCCATGGTCCCAAACACCTATTAAGTGATGGAGCTGGGAGAACCACACTTTTGACAGAGGAAAGCCTTTGTTATGGGTATCTTGTGAACATGCCATACTTCTTTCTTGGGTCTTTACTCTTTGTTCATGTGTGAATATTTATAAGCCTCTTTCCTTACAGGTTTTGGAGATCACATTCATTGGAGGACACTAGAAGATGGGAAGAGAGAAGCAGCTGCCAGGTATAAAATATGTTTTTAGGTTATTTATGGTGGCAAAATACTTTCCAGCCATCAATTTAGCACTAATTCCAGGTTAAGGACTGAGTAGGTGCCTGATAACAGCAACAATAATACTAACGTCCAGTAAGTGTTTACTATGCACCAGACAGTGAATTTTGTGAATGAATTGTTAATTCTTACAACTCCTTTGAGGTGGATCCTGTTAATTGTCATTTTTAGAGATGAAAAAGGTAAGGCACAGAGCAGTTAAGTAACTTGCCCAAGATCACACAGCTAGTAAGTAGTAGAGCCAAGATTTGGACCCAGGCACTCTGCTTCAGAACCTGCACCCAACCAGTAAAACCATATCGCTTAATAGCTTCAAGTTGAATAGTCTTACATTCCAGGTATGTTTCTTCTATGCATAGACAACTTATATAAAGGAAGAGGAAAAGGCACAGTAGGTGGAGAGGCACACTGATCTAAGTGCTTTTCATGCCTTCATTTATTTAATCCTCACAATTTAGGAGGTTGGTTCAGCCTGTGAAATAAGAACTGTTGTTATTTCATAGGAGAGGAAATTGAGATACAGTATGGTTAAATAACTTGTCAATAGTTTATACAGCTAGTAGGTGGCAGAGCCACGACTTGAATGTCCTTTCCTATACTGTACTGGAGAGATCAAAGACCCCAATATATGTGAAACTACTTTATACACACACACATAATTGCATAGAAACGCACTTCTGCATCTACCAAACTATAGTGCTGTTTTTGCTAGAATAGATTCTATAGCTTCGTGGCCCTGAGTCTCCCACCTTATGTAGGAGTAGGGTTGCTAGATTTACTAAATAAAGGATGCCCAGTTAAAGAAGAAATTCAGGTAAACAATAAGTAATTTTAAATATGCCCCATGCAATATTTGAGACATAACTGCTTTAAAACTTTTTTGTTGATTATCTGAAATTCAAACAAGGCATCCTGTATTTTATCTGGCAGCTTTACCGAGAGAGGAAATTTCCTATTAGTTTTTCAAGTTCGAAATCAAAAGATTATTTCTAGATAAAATTTCAGAATATTTTGAACAGTCTTTTTCTCTTCCGTACTTTTACAACCTGACCTACATCTATGCATCACAGTGTATGTTATTCTGCTTGTAGGTGTCTAACTCTTCCCATTCAGACCCTTGGGAACTGTTTTATGTTCATCTTTGAAGCCCCAACCATGGATGTGTTCAATGATTGAAATGGTTATTGAATAAATAGTTATGAGAGTCAGTCACTGGGCGTAATGAAGGGTGATTAGCATTTGTGCATCGTCTTCTATATGCTAAATACAGTGTTGATTGGTTTGCAATATTAATGCAGACTCCATTATAAATGGATGGGCATAGTCTTTGACCGCAGGGAGATCACTTCTATAACATCCGCCACTCTGGTCTCCATCTTCTTTCTGAGACAGCGGGACTTGGGTTTACTGGCAAACTCCCGTTTCCATAGCAACAAGAGGTCCCTTAAAAGTCAAAGTGCGCGTTTCCGGTTTGCGTCGGAGACGCCGACAGCCCGGAAGTTGATGCGGCGCGGTTGCTCATGGCCGCACCCTGGGAGGATGCCGCTAGTGGTAGTTTGCGGGCTGCCGTACAGCGGTAAGAGTCGGCGCGCGGAGGAGCTCCGCTGCGCGCTGGCGGTCGAGGGCCGTGCGGTGTACGTGGTGGACGATGCAGCAGTTCTGGGCACAGAGGATCCGACAGTGTACAGCGATTCGGCCCGGGAGAAGGCGTTGCGCGGGGCCCTTCGAGCTGCGGTGGAGCGGCACCTGAGTCGCCACGATGTGGTCATCCTCGACTCGCTTAACTACATCAAGGGCTTCCGCTACGAGCTTTACTGTCTGGCTCGGGCGGCGCGCACCCCTCTTTGCCTGGTCTACTGCGTACGGCCCGGGAGTCCGAACAGGGAACCTCGGGTGGCGGAAGGGGAGGAGAACCGGAGCCGGAACGTCAGTGTGAATTGGCGGCCGCGGGGTGAGGAGAGTGGGAGCCTTCTGGCTGCGGGCACCAGTGTCCTCCGAGAATCGCAGTCAGTGGATTCAGAAGTAAATGGCAGAGCCCAGGTAGACATACCTAAGAATCTGGAGCTGGAAGAAGCTAGGGCGCCAAATCTTCCAGCTCTCATGACTCCGGAATTGGAGAAATCTGTAAATCATATGCCCAGTGCCTTTTACCCTCCCGAGCTTTTGGAGGCCTTAAAGCTGCGCTTTGAAGCTCCGGAGTCTAGGAACCGCTGGGACAGGCCTCTGTTCACCATGGTGGGCTTAGAAGAGCCGTTGCCCCTGGCAGAGATCCGAACTGCCTTGTTTGAGAACCGGGCTCCCCCACCTCATCACTCTACACAGTCCCAGCCTCTTGCTTCCGGCAGCTTTCTGCACCAGCTAGATCAGGTTACCAGCCAGGTGCTGGCAGGACTGATGGAAGCGCAGAAGAGCGCTGTTCCAGGAGACTTGCTTAGGCTTCCTGGCACCACGGAGCACTTGCAGTTTACCCGGCCCTGGACCATGGCAGAACTGAGTCGCCTTCGTCGCCAGTTTATTTCCTACACCAAAATGCACCCCAACAATGAGAACCTGCCTCAGCTGGCCAACATGTTTCTGCAGTATCTGAGCCAGAGCCTGCACTAACCAGAGGGGGTCGCGGGAAAGGCATAGCTCCTTGTCTAACCTCTACTACATTCTGTTTCTTTGGGAAGAATAATCAAGGTCTGCAGAGCATATTGATGTGGTACTAGAACTCTTGTGATTGATTGACCCCCACTTTCCTGAATGCCTCTATACCAGGCCTTGAGTTTACAGCATAAATTGAGACTAAAGAGAATGGAGAACTAGCTTGGAGGATCTTGGCAAATTTCGTCAGAGGACAGAGCTTAGGTGGATACAGCTTGCTTAAATTGGATTCTGCTTACTACATCACATTTTGTTGATTTCCCTTATCTGAACTGTGGTGAAGCAGACTGGATGGGTGAATTGTTTTAAAACAATTAGGAACAAAAACAATGCAGCACAATCTGCATCTGCACTGGCCCTTTCATACCACAGTTTTTTGAGTACTGTGCCTACGATTTTCTAGTATCAATCCTGGGGGGCACAGGGCAATCCACTGGTTTCTGTCCTTGGGAAACTTTGGTTCTAGTGGAAGTGAAAGATATAACCAGTGGATAATTTCATCTAATAAAATCTTTTAGAAGAGGAGTCTGCTGGAATCTCTTTTCACTTAATGCAATTTAATGTTCTTTATGTAATTAGTGTAACATTTTAGCTACATGTTATCAATGATATGCCTTTAATTGAAATAGTGCTTAGTGAGAGACTAGATGTTTCAGTCTAACCTGGAGTGATTATATTGTGACAACTTCCGTAATTGTGCTTCATTCCTGTATTGAAGGCGTATATCATTTTAAGCTTTCATTCTTTCATTGATTTCATTAAACAAATGGTAGGTATAAGCACTTAACAGTGCTTATAATTTTTTAAAGATGAATTAGATAGTCTTTGCCTCTGAGAAATTAATAGTTTGGGTGAGGAATACAGACAAGTAAATAAATGATTACAGGATGAAAGTGGCTGGTGGGTAGAGGCTGATGATAGAATATTTTGGGAGTCCAGAGGTGAAAAGGACTGACTAGCTGTTGAAAGAAGGTGGTTTTAGGAGGGCTTCAGGGGTGCAACTGTCACTCTAGAACAAGGGTCAGCAAAGGGCCAAATAGTAAATATTTCAGGCTTTGTGGGCCATTGGGTCTTTGTTGCATCTTTGCAACTTCTCCATTGTAGCACAGAAGCAGCACAGATAATTATATAAATGAGTGTAAATGTGTTTTGATAAAACTGTGCACACTGAAACGTGAATTACACTTTTAATATATCAAGAGGTATTCTTTAGATTTGTTCTACAACTGTTGAAAAAACATTTGTATCTCACAGCCCAACAGAGGCAGGCAGTGGGCTGGATTAGGCCTCCAGACCATAATTTGCTGAACTTTCCTCTACAAGGATGAATAGGAGTTTGCTGGGGAGGAAGGAAAAAGCAAGACATTCTAAACTGCTCTGTAAGTTTATTGGACTGTTAAAAGGATGGGCTGCCTTTGTTGGTGATAATATTTCTTGATCATCAGGCATCTGGACTACCACCCTTTTCTGATAATATGAGAGCGGGTTCCTGCATGAAATGGAGGTTTGGACTGTTCAACCTGTAAGGCCTTTTCCAACCTTCATCGTCTGATTCTAAGTTATTTGATAATTGGTTAAGTAGGGTTTAAACCTAAAAATCCCAGATTGCCATTTTAAATTGAAGTAGACTATAATGGTCAGAAAGAACAAGTTTTGGAGTCAGACTCATGAATTAGCTAGTAAGTAGCAGTTCCCAGATTTTATGTGGCCAAATATTTAATTTCTTGGGAGTCTCAATTTCCTCATTTCTATTATGAGACCATTAATAATATCTACTTTAGGATGATTGTGAGGGTTTAAACGAAATGATGCATATGAAGCACATAACACAATGTCAAAATAAATGTTGAGCACATTTTGGCTACTATTATGGTTGCCTGGATCCCACTTCTCACTTAAGCTTCCCCTGCTCTTTTAATTTATAAACTTTTACAAGTATTAGAGTCACAAATCCATCCTAGATTTGCAGTAGGCCTATTGTGAGGTAGCTAAGTAATTCATTTGACACTTACTAAATTCATTAATTTATTATATTTAGAATTGGTGCATGGTATTTAACAAATGCTCTGTAAGTGTTTGCTATCACTAATATTCTGCGTGCCAGATATAGGAGACATAGAAAACTAAGTGTTCTTGCCTTGGGAAGCTCCAAGTCTAGGGCAGGGAAATGGGTAAGTAATAGATTAGTTCACTGTGGTAGTGCTGTTGTAATACACAGCGTATAGTGGTGTGGGTTGGGTAATGGAGAAGGGCAGTAACTATTTACATAGGACCCTCCTACAGGTTGGCGTTTGAGTTCCAAGAGTTTAAGAGCTTCAGCAGCCCAAAACTGGTTCAGGTGCACTATATTGCTCATTATTTTAAAAAGGAAAAAGCTTTTTTCCCTGGATGATAAAGATTGCATTTAATTGTAGAAAAACTGTAAATACAGAAAAAGTATAATAAAATCCCTAATGTCATTATCCAGAGATAATTGCTATTGTTTTGATGTATTTCCTTTTAAGCTCTTTATCTGTACATATTTGTATAATTGAAGCCAAACTATAGATAGTACTTTTATATTCTAGTTTTTAATTTAACATCATTACACAGATGAAAAATTTTATTAACATATCGATGGTTATATGACCATAACATTTAGAAATACTGTAATTTGATGTTTTTTTCCATAATCTTTTCTCCCTAGCTTTAAACCTAATTTTCTATAATTTACAGGAATGTCAGAATTTATCCAATAATTTTGTTACAATAATCTATTAATTGAAAATTTAGGCTATCTTAAAAATTTCTCAATTGAAATCATGCTACATGAACATCTTTGTACATTCATCTTTGTCTTTATAACTTGATCATGTTATTAGGATAGATTTAAAGAATTGGAAATACTAGATTATAACTTTTTTGTTTTGTTTTTAAGTGGATTACCTTTGATGGTGATTATCCATAAGTCCTGGTGTGGAGCTTGCAAAGGTAAGTACAAATGATCAAACCTCAGATGTGTCCTCAAACATTAATATTTAAAAAATATTAGCACTGACTTTGGCTTAGTACCACTGGTGGCTTTAAAGAATATTAAAGAAATATATAATATAGATTCCCTGCCATCAAGAAATTTGTACTGTATTTGCAAGGGGTTAGAGGGTGACACAATTAAGATACATATATGTAGAGTGTGGGATTAAGTGCTACAATTTCATATGGACTGTCAATAGAGGAAGCTGAAATGTATAGAAAGAGACAGGAGAAGTGGTTAGAGAAGTCTTCCTGGAGAAGGTGGGAACCAAATTGTAGCAGTGGTTATCTGACTTTGTAGCATGTATTCCTCTGCTATAACATTCTGCCACTTCCCTGTCAGGTTTTTTCTTTTGTTTGGTATATTGTACTTAATAAAATCCTAGTTGGAAGAGGGGTATAAAATTAGTATAATACTGTATATATAAGTGGTAGAGTATTGTTACTCTTTTGTCTATTACTTCTTCAGTAGAAGTTATTGAAATGTGGCCATGAAAAGCAAATAGTAATAATTTTTTCATTTGTATTTCATTATCTGTATTTTATAAATGAGGTAAAAGTGTCATTAAATGAAGTCAGTTACGCAAGGTTTCATAGCTATGTGAGTAAATGGCAGAAACAGGACCAGAATTCAGGTATCCTATTTCTGGTTCTTTAAAGTAAAAGAATAAAGGTTCAGTTATGTAAGTCAACTCAGCCAATTAGTTTTCATATGACAATGATGTTTTCTTCTATTCCAAATCTCCTCCCATCCCTCAGCTTTAAAGCCCAAATTTGCAGAATCTACAGAAATCTCAGAACTTTCCCATAATTTCGTTATGGTAAATCTTGAGGTAAGACTTTGAGTTTCTCCTTTCTGCTCTGATTTTCAGTCTACTATTTTAATATTAGCATCATTAATAGTATAAAATCATATACAGCAGAGTTGGCTTTTTGTGTATGTGTGATTTTCTGTTGACCTCTAGTACTAAGGCTTGTGTCAGATGTGATAGCCATCCAGCCTCCACTTGGGGGGAGAAAATGGAGAGGAGGGATTGGATAAAATGGCTAAATTTTAAGGTCCCTTCATGTTTTACATCTTCTTGTAACTGAACAATAAAGGTATAGTCACTCAGGTAGGCCACAGCTCCCTGCAAAATATCACTCAGTTGAGTATCTACTCTAGTGCTGGGCTTGTATGTACAACCTTCCTGCCTCTTCATTAGATGTCCTTTATGTATTTTACATAGACTATAGGTCTTGAAATCCCAAGTCAGAATATCAGATATTAGAGTTAGAAGGGATTTTTAGGTGATTGGCACTATCCCTATTTCACAGAAAGAGTATTTTAGGCCTGATGGAATTAGGTGATTTAGTCAAGGTCATAGAGCCTAATAAGTGATAAAAATAGGTGCTATGACCTAAATATGCTGCTTTTATGCTATATTCTTCAAGTGAAGGGTGCTTAGCTGCTCTATGATGGTATTTCTAGCCTTAAGTTTCTATAAAGGCAATGTTTACTTAAACATGGGACTGTAAATCTTCTGAACACATTAACAATTAACATTGAAGCAGCTAAGGGCTTGCTTATATTGCTACTGGATAGTCTGAATGCTGATGAACCTCATTCAAGGCAAAATTATATTACAGTTTGAAGAAATGACCCCATTTAACTCCTGAAATGGGAGCCACACACACAATTACTGTTGACTTCCTATACATAGGAACTTATCACTTTTTAAGTTAGAATCAATGCTCATGGGAAACAAATGTCTTGAGTGAGCATTCTCCAAATTTGGAAATTTCTTAGAAAGCTAATTGTTTGGTTGTATTTCCTGGAAGGGCTGTAACTCCACAGTTGTAGCTACAATGTCAGTCTCATTAATTCATGCACTCAAGAAATACTATTGCAAGTTAGTAGTGTAGGTATTGGGAATCAGCAATGCACGAAACACTAAATTCCCTCCAGAACAGACAATAAGGTAGTAAACACTATGGCTAAGAATGAAGGGTGGAGGGAATAATTTAACAGTTTTTAATAGGTGTTTAGAAAAGAAGGTGACATCTGAGCAAGGATTTAAAGTGGAAAAGGGAGTCAGCCATGTCACTAATAGTGGAACTATATCCAGGCAGAGGGTAAGAATAAGTACAAAAGCCTGAGTGAGCTATGTGCCTAGTTGTTTAATGACAGCAACAGCAAGCAAGTTAGTGTGGTTGTAAGAGATTGAACAAGGGGTAGGACATCAAAGTAGAGAAGCGCCCAAGTGGCAGATTATGTAGGGCCTCTTAGGTCCCTGTAAAGACCCTGAGTGAGAGGAGAAGCCACTAAAAGGTTTTGAAGAAAGAAGGGACATGGTCTGACTTAAGGTTTTACACTTAATAGGACGAAGAGGAGCCCAAGGATGAAGATTTCAGCCCTGATGGGGGTTATATTCCACGAATCCTTTTCCTGGGTAAGGTGAAAGATCTTAATCTGGGGATCCATGATGTGAAAGGAGAGAGAAATGAATTAAGGTGCTAACTCGACCTAATGA